AGTTAGTCTTACTGGGAAAGTCTCTACCACCTTAGCACACTGCATTGGTGTCATTTTTGCCCTTTCTTCTCGGTAGATTTTCTCTCACGTTGCTTGGTAATCCTTAACAGACAGAAACTCTCAAGCCTTTTGACATATTCTCAGTATGCTTTAAAAGGATTTGAATACTTAAGTTAGTCATTCCTTACCCATTTTTTAATTTTCATTATCTATTTCTTTATTTCTGTTTGTTCAATTAACAAATATTAATTGCTTCTTCAAAAGCACCATTACTTCAAGCAACAGAATGTGAAAACTGTGTAAGGTCTGTATACTTTTGCAAGGCACTGCACATTATATCAAAATAACAGATACTGAAAGTTGTCTGTGTCTTGCATTTACGCAGTAGATTTTGAAGAAGGGTATTACTGACATTCCTCAAGAGAAAACGTCCTGTTTTAATTTGTATTTTCCCATAAATAATAGTTGCATCTTTACTTTGTAAAAAAAAAATGTTTCTAGAACATGCCCAAGATGGGTAGAGGGTCAGGTTCCTATTCCACACAAATATAATCAAGTATTTATTCACTCAGCAGTTCTTGGCCTGTACACAAGGATGATTGGCAGTATTCATTTTAAAAACACTCCAGAAACCAATTTGCTTTACTTATAAAGCAAAGTTCCATTCAGTCATTTGGCTGATGCCTTTATCCAAGGTGACCTAAAGTCAATAATCCAGTCTGAACAACAACATCAGAATAATAAACAGGGTTACAAAAGATATGACAAACTTCTAACTACCAAGAAATAATTTATTTCTGCTGGTGGGTTCCACAGCTTTGGCTTACACGACACATATTAACCTGAAACGTTTTTAAAGTACAGGATCAAATTGCTGCAATAAGCTACACATTAAAGCAAAAAAAAGAAGAAAGACACATGCATTAAGCTAACAGAACACATTAAAATGACAGGACACCCGAAGTCCCTTCTGCTAAAATGGTGTTCTTTTCCTTTTGTGTCTGATATTCACCTTGTGACAATGCCTGCACACTCTGCACATTTAAAGACCGACAATGTGTCACCTTTGTTTTTGTGTGTTTTAAGTGATCCATCTTTGATCTTTCTGACCGCCTCTGGGATCTCTCTCATTTTCCCTCTCAAGGACGTATGCATGGTCTTATATCCATGAAGAACTGTTTGCATCCTTCAGCTTGAGTACTCCGTCTTTCACATTCCATCAGGGTTCATTGCACTCGATAGATCTTCATATACTGTACTCATCCATGTCTATTGTCTTCAGTCACCAGGCACCAGAGCCCTCATATCTGCAACGTGATGCCCAGCTTTTCAATGTTCACTAAAATAATACCTTCAAATCAATTCTATGGTCTCACTCTTTCAGCTCACCTCTTAACTCTCACTTGTCACCAAGGACTGTGTCCTTACTAAAAACTCAGTCAGTAACTGGGAAAAGTTACATATTATTGGACATTTATCACCTAACATATTATTATTAGAAATTAGAAATATTATTAGAAATCACCTATCATATTATTGTGAGAATACCTCCGCTCATCAGGCTGTGACAGGTGGAGGGGAAGATAATTGAAGTAAGGAACTGAAGGAAACAAAAACACAACAGCCTGACTCCATTTAGAATGTTACAGGTGTCACAGATTGGTTTCATGAACAGGTGATTAAACTGAATTGTGAATACAGCTCATTAATGCCTTCATAATTTCGAATGAAGTCTTTGCTTGTCCTCATAGTATTAAATGCCAGTAACTCAGCTGATATTTGTTACGTAAACTGCAAGTTATCGTTACGTTATCTTATGGCCCAGCAGGCTCGGATGGAACTTGTCTGGACCACATTCCCCAGGAAGCTGGTCACCTGACAATTGGTCAAGAGACAGTGAGATTCTGTAAGCAGGGTGCGGAATTTATGTGGTTAGTATCTGCTGTCTGAGGACAGAGGACAACAGGACAGAGGTGTGCTCCTGTCACCAGAGGGAGAAGGAAATGACCAACCCAGGGAGTCAGAGTTTTGTGAAGAATGAGACAGAGACTGAGTAAAGAGTCTCAGAGACTTGTTTGAGAGACTTTTGTGTTTTTTTAAACAGTATTATTCTATTCTATTACTCTATACTATTCTAGTTAGGGACAAGAGTTAGGCTTTTGTTTTGATTTGTTTGACTTTTGTTGTGCATTACAGGTGCTACTCATGGATGTTATGAAAAGTGCTTATTCAAAAGAACCTTTTACAGCATCTGAGCCCATATACAAATCCAAAACCGTTACAATAAAACTTATGAAAAGTAAAACAAGTAATAAACTTAAAAATAGTAAATGTCTGAAAAATAAAGATGTGCTTCAAACATTAATAAATATTTTTTCCTTGGAAATACAGTACATTTATTTTCTTTTACATTTTTCTGAACATTAAAGAAAGGTCTTGCAGTTAAAATCAAACTGTCTTATCTGCCATGTTGCAGGAGTGTCACTGTGTTGAACAAAATGTGTTAGATGTTTCACATCCTTTCCTGCAGAACAGAATTTATTACCTTTCTTATTTTGTTGAACATGATGCAACACTGAGGTTTCTGCATTGTGGTTTCTGCCTCCTTGCTGGAGTGTGAATTAATAAATTATAGCATTTATGTACCCAACTTCGTACCTAGAAAATCTGAATATAAATAGTTTATACTTAATAGTAAGATGGGCACTGTAACGGACAACAGTAACAATGAGTTGCTTGCTGGAGTCCAGGTTGCAAATATGTGTTACAGCTGTTAAAATACTGTACTGTTTTTTGATTTAGTGTATTCCTGTGGTTGTGTAGCGATTTCGTGCTTCTAATTTACTTAGAAAATTCCCAGAATACTTTTATGACTACTAGGAGTCAATCAAACAAAACAATTAGCAATGCTACAAAAAATAGGAGATACTCTATAATCGTATCGATACAATAATAAAACATTCAATTAAACCAATACACTATCTTGTTAACAAAAGGAAAGAAAAAAGCTCCATTGCATTGATCCATAAGAGGTAGCATGAAAGCTCTGGACCTGGAAACCAGGACACAAGCTGGGAAAGAAAATTGAAAAATGCACCTGCCAGTATGTAGCCAGTGTAGCAGCTACACTTAATAAGCCATGATATGTTTTACAGAATAAGTGGAAGACTGTTTTCAAACATTTCTCTTTTGTTTATTCTATAAGGAATTGTTCATTTATTTAATGTGTTTTTTTTCCTACAGTATATGAGCTAAGCAATACTTGTTATCTGTGTTATCAGAGTTCTGTGGTCTGTAGACAGAAAAAATCAGAATTGTGACACAAAACACCAAAATAGAGAAGGAGGAACCTGCACCCCATTAAATAAAAGGTTCCAGCCCAGGACTAAAGTGCCGTCTTGAAACATATGCTAAAAACAGAATGGGAAACAGTGCATCACTAATCAGAGAAAACTGTTAGCCTGGGGATTCCACAATATTGGAAATCAGAATTTACATTAATAATTATGACAATAAGTGCCTTAATAATAAGGCTCAAATTTCTTGTCTTCTAGTTCTCAGATTACCTGTACAGAATCTGTTTTTTCCCTCTCAGTGTGTTTTTCATATGTTGATGGTGATGTTTACATTTCTTCCTTCCTTGTGTCCTCTGCCTTGTGTGCACTGCCTTTCTATTTATATCCTGCTTTAAGGGTTACTCTGTTCCATGACCCTTCCTCTTTGAAACTAGATTAATGACCACATTTGGAATGGTCTGGTCACTGTAAATATTGGTGTTCTACTATAGCAGAACTAATTATTTAATAGTGAATTAGTTTATCCTAAAATAGCTACTAGTAACTATCTTTTGATCATCTACAGTACCTGTATCTTTGACCATGTTGATTTATGTCGAGGACCAATGACAGCTGTGTAAAAACGTAAGCCAATACACATTGTATTGAGTCTACAGAATACAGTATTTCTGTTTGGAAATATAAACATTTAACCCTCAGCCATGCACCAATATTCAGTTATGCTGACAAATGGACACTGTATTATTTCACTAATCAGTCAAAATTCCAAATGTCAGTTTCTCCAAAAATTTATCCTATTTGCTATTTGCTATAGCTGCCACTGTGAGGCCAACAACAACTTTGAAAGAACTACAGAGTTTAATGGCTAGGATTGAATAAAATCTGCTTTATTAAAAAATATCCAGAACACTTCACAGAACAAAACTGTATGGAGTCTGCAACATATCACCTGCAAAAGTGTGGCATAATGTGTTGTGGTCAGGTGAGAACAAATTCAAACTCTTGATTAAAAAAATCCAAGCGTTGTGTTTGGCATAGATCCAATGCAGTTTCTCCCAGTCATCACTATAATTACTGTCAAGCATGGTGATGGCAGCATCATGCTATAGGGATGCTTCTTCTCAGAAGGGACTGGAAAAGTTTTAAGGATTGAAGGAAAAGTTGATCGAACAAAGCATAGGCAAATACTAGAGGACAACTTTCAGTATGCTAAATACTTAAAACAGGTGCTAAAAGTCACCTTTCATCTGGACAATGATCAAAAGCACAAGGGCAAAGCTAGACTGGAGTGGATTAAGAATATAAAAGTGAACATTTTCTTGAGAAGCCCAGTCAATGGCCTGTCTTGACATTGGAAAGACTTGAAAACTGCCGTCCATACATGATCCTCAAGCATGAGAGAGCTTGAGCAAATCTTTCAAGAAGAATGGGCAAAATAGCCAATGTGAAGAGTTTTTAGAGACTCAAAAAGACTTGAGACTTTAATTACCAAATATTGATTTCAGGGGTCTGAATACTTAAGCATTTAATACATTTAAGTTATTACAATCTTCATTTAAATTTGACATAGGATTACAATTATGGTATGTTATATGCCTTGTGTTGTGTAGGTATTTCAGGAGAGTGTTTAGGGGTAGACAAATCTAGAATGTGTTTGTTCATGTGAATCACAGTACATCATGAATGCCTCTGTTTCTTCTTCAGACCTGAACCCAGACAAGACCCACCAGGAGAAAATGGAGAAAGCAGTACTGGATCCTTCATGGGACATGCCCCTTGACCACAAGATACCCCTCTTCTACCCCAGATCCAGAAACAATCTCAGTATTGTTCTCTCTGCCTTTTCTGAAATGACTACAAGGCCCTAAAGCCCAATATATTTTCATGGCACTTCATCCTGTGTGGCAGTAGTTGATAATATGGTATCTTCTTCTGGACGTAACTGTCTGTGTTTTCTTAAAAGTACCTGTGCAGCCTATGTTCCCTTTTTCTTCCATTTAAGGTCTCCTACATTACAAGAAAATGACCAAAATTACCAAACATTCTGTGTAACTAGTTACGGCAATAAAGTTTTGAACTTGAAGAAGCATGAGTCATCCCATGCTCTAGGGCAAAGCTCGGCCTAGACCAGCTGAGCTACGATTCTATTGGTTTTATATCTTAGCTATAAAAGGTTTTATAGCTTTAAATGTTATCCAATGGAGGCTTAAAATTGAGAAATTTAAAACTATAATAATTGAACAAACAACTGGTTCTATTAGTCCATTCAGAACTTCGCTGGGATAGAGCATAGATGTCTGGTCCAAAACCAGAAATGAGACAAAATTCTCTGTTCGTGTAAGAGTCGATATCATCAGGCACTTGTGTGTCTCACAGTTCATTCAGAGCACAGCTTGCATGTACAAGGCCAGCTGGCTTAATAATTAAGATAAAGAACTTAAACCAAGAGAACCTGAGCTGCAGCTCTGCAGCTCTTTCACAATTTTTTGCCTTAATCAGGAAATCTCCTTGTGAATCCCAATGTACAGTAGAATAGACACAACATTATCTAGAGTAAGTGACTTTGGTAGAGTGATTTGATTTCTTGCTGTATACAGTACATCATTGCACTAACATTTGCAGATTACTTTGAAGACAGGTTTCAGCTAAATGACTAATTGTTATTCAGCCCTGTGCCTTGAGCTTTGTTCTCTGGTGGTCTGACCACACTATCTTTCTGTCCCTAGCAAATCACGTCTCTCTTTCTATCAGATGGTTGTATGTTACAAAATTGGAACTGTTATCTGTTCTGCATGGTGGTTACCAGTGCAGCATCACAGCTCCCGGGTCCTGGGTTCTGTTCTCCCAATGCTTGTGTTGGTTCTTTTTCCAGATGTGCAAATTTCCTTCTGACTTCCAAAACATGCCGGCTACACTAATTGGTGTTTCTAAACTGTAACAGAGTAAGTATAGCTTGTCTTAGAACAGTATTTCTGCCTTACACCTTATGTCTTTTGTCTGCCAGAAGAGGCACTGGCTCACTCTGACAATCTGTAGAATGAAACAGGTTGTGTGCAAGATGTTTTTGATCTGTAAAGTGGTAATGTACTGTATTTTTTCTACAAGTGTGGTAATGTTTTGCAACTATATTGCTATCATGCAAGTGTTTAGCTGTGGTTACATTTTTGAAAGTTAGATTTCAACACATTATTGAGTGAAAAGTGTAAGTATAGGGACAGTTACATGAAATCTGTCATTTTTACTGTGTACAAATACAATTTGTTTTTTGAAGAATATTAATACATGGCAAAACTATAGAATTTCAACTTTTTTCTGAAGTATTAAATTAAACTAAAGTTGGTGTTTTGCCTCAGACCCCTCAATCCATGACTACTTCAAGTCTATGAGCCATTGACATACAGTAGCAGATTTTAGATATTCCTTTGAAATCATCAGTTACATCATCAATAAAGATCAGTGAGCCAGTTACAGAGGCAGCCATGTGTCCTCATAACCCTGACCCCACCTCCACTGTGCTACACAGATGAAGTAGTGCACTTAGTATCATTTGCAGTTCCTCTCTTTCTGTCACTTTGATAAAGGATCATTTTAGTCTCATCTGTGCATAAAACCTTGTTCCAGAACTGTTGTGGTTCATCTGTGTCCTTCTTTGCAAATTAAAATCTGGGCTTTCTGTTCTTAGTGGTGATGAGAGGTGTGTGTCTTTCAGTGTTGCCCTAATAATTCTCCTGTCGAAGTTTTCTGGGCATAGTGAACTGAGAAACGTTCACACCTGCACTCTGGAGGTTGTCTGCAATCTCTGTGGCTGTTACTTAAGGGTCTTTATTCACATTTCTAATGATTTTTCTGTCATCACCTGCTGCCTTACTCCTTCAACAGGCTGGTTTTTGCCAGTTGCTCATTCCTCCAAGAGTTTGCAGTATGCATATTTATTATTGCATTCAGCCCTATTTCATTAATTTGTTAGTTTGTTAGAAAGTAGTTTTTCAAATTTCAACTTCATTGTTGGATTTTGAGGATATTGGAGATCACACGATGTGCAATATGTTGTGAAGCAATTAAAACAACAAATGTTGAAATACAATAGAAAATTCGCTTTTCCAGGGCTGTGTCAAAAATAGCCAGAGGATTCGATCTAAAACACAAAGTTCTTTAACACAGAGACAAATGTCACGTTTCACTTCACTGTGCCAATACCTATGCTTTTCACCGTATGGTATCAGAAAGAAAATTATATATATGGTCCGGTTAGAAAAAAAATGATGGAATGTTTAGTTAATGTACGCTGTTATGTGAGATGATATTTACTGGCTTGCAAGAATTTCACAACAAATGAAAAATATCTAAATAGGACTTGGATTCAGTCAAAGAATGAAATAAGCTCCCTTTGTCACATTTGCAAGTTAAGTGATTACAGTGTTACAAAGCAAATAGCCCAGTGGAGGATTGAAGTTCCTTGTATCAAACCCTTGGTGTCCTAGTAATAACAGGACCTTTGTGTAGAGTAAACTTGTAATCATGAAAGACCTTAGGAAATGTGTGAAATTAATTAAAATTTGTATTAGTCTTTCCTCTTTGAAAGTCTAGACAAAGCAAAAAAAAAGACTGAACTATTTCCAATACCATAAATGATCCTATTAAAAATACTCACAGAGGAATTTTCAAAGCCCCTCCCAATTTTCATCATAAAAGCTCAAAGCTACAAAGTCAGTGTGACAAAACAAAAACTTGAAGAATATGTATTTTTATTGAGACGAATATGAAATGTAATCTGGATGTTATGTGGAGGTAATGTAATATACAGTAGGCTTTGGAATTAATGACCACCCTGTTGTCTTCCCTCTTGCAATTTGATTTCTGGTGGACGTCTCTTTTTAATCTAAAACCAAAAAACTTGGCCTCCTGACAGAAAATGGACGTTACCTTTTATATCTTGAATTATCTTGGAAACTAAACACAGTACAGACCTGATTGGGGTCTTGAATTAAAGAGAGCTCCTTGGGCACCCTGTCTGAACCTTTTGATGTTTTATATGTCTTTCTTAGTAAACACTTTAGAAAGAAATATCCAGAATAAAAATGTCAGAAAACACAGATGCAATTTATTGTCTTTCTTCAAAAGTCCATTTTCCAAGTTGTGGAACATTTAGGATGTCAATTTCCTTTTCTAGGCCTTCTTTAAAATACCAACTATCATAGAAAAAAATAAAAACTTAAAAATGAATGTGATTGAAGAAGTACAGTATAAAAAATGCATGATTTTTTTTTTATGAAGACAGGCCATTAATCGGTTTTCTCAGCCTTCCAAAAATGTAAAATAATGAAAAGAAAGAAAAGAAGAAATTACTACTGTAGTAGTTTAATAATGCCAGCCCATCTTATAATGTTTAGTTGTTTTTACTGTAAGTGTTTTTACACGTTTTTAAACTTTTTTGCACTCATCTGGTATTTTTGGGCTTATGCAGTACTCCCTACATAATAAACAAGTTTAGTAAAATAAAAAAAAACTATGCATGCATGCTATAGAAACGAGGGTTTAAGTCTGTGAATGGTCAGAATTCACTGAATGAAAGCTATTTTTACCTATCAGATGAGCTTTTTCTAGAGCCAGTCGATTTGAACTTATAGGGCTTCAGCAGCTATCTTTGTTGCAGAATGTTTTGTTTTTATGAACTCATTAATTTTCATAGTAAAAAAGTAAAATAAATGCTCTTTCTCAAGGTAAGGTAAAATGTCCTTTATGCATGTTAGCGAAGGTTTACTTTTGCAATTATGTTTTACTGGAGAACCGGTAAATTAGACATGTATTTGCCTGCTTCTCTAAACTGAAATGCCAGATGAATATAACTATGAAAAAGGTTCATTTGATTTGTGCTGATGTATCTAGTTCTGAAACAAAATTATGAAAAGCTCAGGTTGTCTTGTATTTCGTGATGTATAGTATGTGATGTTGTATTTTGATTTTGCTAGTAAAAATATATATTATTCGACCAATGTGCAGCTTCTGTCTAAAGTGCTTTTGTCAGGATTACACAATTCATTTGTTTGTTTATTACGAAATAGTTTCAATGCAGTGAAAACAAACTTAAAGATTGTGTACAGAGGATATTGGACAAAAATTGTATTTGCTATATTTTGAGAAAGGTTAAAAAATGTTGTTTTTGGATATGAAAAGTGTAGCATTGAAAGCAAATACGCACACATAGATGGATATGCCTAGCTAGGGCAGATAATATTTAAAACTTTCTGGCTTACAGCAAGTCCTATGTTTTACAACAATATTAATCAGGCTGTTGTGTTGGCTTGGAATTTTATTCTTTCTGTTTACTGTTGCTCCCTGGCTGTTCGCTGTAAACACATTCATTAAAAACTAGTGCAATTTACTAAATGTTTTAAATTTGTCTTATTGTTTGCAGCAGTATTGAAGCACTGATTTTGTATAACAAAGTCATCCTGATTATTTTATTGTTGGTGAAGCCCTTATTGGTAAAGCTCTTATTGTTATTAAGGCCTGACAAATTCAGTACATACATGAATAACTGAATGTGAACATGGACTCTCAGTCAGAGATTTAGTCACCTGATGATGAGATGTGAGATTTAGAGACAGCAATTGATTTTGTGTTAAGTAATCATGCAGCACCTTTGAAACCTAAATAAAAGGTTTATATCTGTTTTATTTCAGTAGGGTTTATGAGCATTTTCATGGGTTTTCTACACTACACTAAGTACAAAGACATTTAGGAGTGGATATCAAAATTCCTTATGATTGCTCCCCAGGTCACATCTAGGATTTCAAATATTTGCAGGATGAAACAAGAACAGAACACTGATGAAAAATATTTTTCAAAGGGTATTCTCTCCGTTTTAGATTAGAAGAAGGGCAGAGAAGAATATGGTAGAATTTATTATAACCGGGTTATTTCCCCAATTCATATCAAAACTAAGAAACAGGATTTACAGCCTCATAGAGTGATGCTTCATAGGTCACAACCAGAGCAAATGAAAGAATGTGATTCATTCACAGCCTTCACACTGTTCTCTGTTTCTCATTGTCAGTAATGCATTCCGTGTGTGCAATGAATTGTCCGCATTCTACATTTTATATAGTGTAGCAGCAGAGCAGAGAGACAATGGGGTGTATTTCAGCTGCTTGATAAAGCTTCATCGCCATTGCAAACCAGAGAGCACTGACTTGCCTTTAAGTGCAAACAGTTCTGAATGACAGTAGTCTTGCTTGTCACATAATAATGTGAGAATTATGAAAGAAGACTTCTTTGTCACATTATACCATTCCAAAGCATATCCATTCTAATCTTTTGGTGTTTTTCTCTGTATATATACAGGTATATTTTTCTAATTTAGAATAAGCCACTATTTACACCTTCTGAGGTTCAGCCTCGTACTCCACAGTACTAGAGCCAAGTGAAGTGTAAAACGGAAAATACAGCCATTAAAGTAAAGAATCTACAAAGTTCTCATTTGTGTTCTTTATCCCAGATAACCAGTGAGACTAACATTAACTTAAAACCGCTTAATTATTAAATTTAATGTCGATGCTCTTTTCTGTTACCTTTTTCTATTTGTAATCAATTACAGAATATGAAATTCTTGTCATTTACAAAGTGATATTGATTGACCTTTTTCAAAAGTCCAAGATCACTTTGTTTCTCTTCAGAGAACTAGCTCAAATTATTTTCCTCTTATTGAATTACTGCCATTGGTCCTAGAAGGCTAAACATACAATGTACATGATGTAACTGACAATGTACCGTACATAACATTAATGCTTTCTGTGTCTGTATAGTGATCCATTACAGGTATATTAGGGTTTATGTTTCTTTGATTAATATATTTATTTTTTCCCAAACCAGGTGTTTTCAGATTTGTGACCAGCTGTGAAAATGTACAAGTCCATCTTGCTCAGGCACAGCGTGATAAGTTCAGTTGTCTTTCTTACAGCTTCATGCTGTATTTCTTCATGCTGAGGAGACAGAAATGTTTAGTTTTCACCCTGGGGAAGGTCTGCTGAATCTTCCTGACACTTTGACAGCACAAGCTGGCAAAGAACTGCAGCCTGCCTTTAGCTACAGAAGCTGCAACATCCCTCACTTATATGTCAGTGGGTCGCTTCTTGATCAGGGAACAGGTGCTCCTTATCTCTGGTGTTCAAGAGTGTGTTAGAGAATGAGATGTATTTCCTTGTGAATTTTTAAAATTGTTTCCTCAGCTCAGTGGAGATGAGGCATTTCATCACACATTGGAAAAAACACACCTTCCTGAAAATTAGATATGAATTCCCCCTACCGCAAACCAATCTGTTTTATTCGTCTTTCTCCAACAACCTAATTCCTATTTACAAGCTAGTCATACTCCTGCTCCAACAAATCCCTGCACATTTATAAATGTGTTGATTGCTTCTGAACAGCTCCTTCAGCCTGAACACACACAGTGCCTTTCTCTTCACCACCTCCTCTTTGTGATAAAATCATCCTAAAGGCACAGTGCAGACTCTAGCCTGCATGTTAGTGAGAGATGAGGGCTTCTTGAAAACATTGTAACTGCTTAATTGGCAGCCCACAGCAATTTTCTTTATAGTTTAATGGATAGCATGATGTTAACTTTTGATTCTGCACTCAACTACAGCATTGTACTGAAAAAAGAGTAGCAAATACACTATATTAAGGCAGTACAAGGAGGAAAGATGGAGGTCTTTGAATCAACTACTGTACATGACTGACCTGTCAGTCAAAGACCATTTAAAAAACAGGAATCTGTGTTCTGCATCTACTACCTTGGGTTTAGAAGGCATATCCAACTTGGGATAAGAGACCCAGACCAAGGAAAAGAGCCTTGAAGCCTCCAGCCTCTGATGATTGTTTGAACATCACACAATCAATTTCACTTTACTGCTCAGACAAGGTCATCATAATTGTAGACTAAGTCATGAATACGTTTCAGTTTACAAATGGTTATCAATTAAATCATTGGTTCATAATCTCACCCAGTCAATAAATGGTAAACTTGATCCATATCAGTTTGCTTACAAATAAGGGTAAAGCACAGAAGATGCTGAAGTTACCCTCAGTCAGCTTATTTCAAGCATATACAGTACTAGGGTACGTTTCTACAGCTTGTAGTGCAGACCGACTGAAGATTTTATAATCAGAAATTACAGGTCTGATATTTGTATCTGATGTATCTTATATTTTGGTACAATTTATACCTTACAAGAAGGTTGCAGCAGGTTAAAGCTACTAAGTTATTAATATACTTTCTTCTGAGGTAATAACTAAGTGGACCATCCCAGGGATGTGTGAGATCACCACTGCTCTTGGCCATTATTGATTGTTGCCAAGTGATCCAAACCACTTCCTAGTCACCTTTCCTGATGATTCCACCTTACTTTCTGTGATAAATGATAGTGTCGACCTCAACCTGTATCAGAACAGTGTACTTTGTTTGTCTGGTGTGACCAAAATGTCCTGATTGTAAATGCTAGAAAAATGGAAGAAAAGGTCTTTGGTCTTGAACAGAATGAACATTCTTCCCCAGTCATAATTCATCATGAGTCCATTAAGCAAGCTACATCCTATAAATATCTGGGAATATACATAGAATCTTATCTGTCTTGGAAGGCACAGACTTTGTTATAAAGTATAACAGCAAATCTTTGCAGGTTGCTGGTTTTGGAACCACCAGTCAGATTTTGTCCACGGTTTTCAGTTCTGTGGTGCAAAGTGTCCTACAATATGGAATAACCATCTGGTATATTTAAGGCTGGGGGCTCTTGGTAGAGCATGAGGCTCATAATCTCGGGGTAGTGGGTTTGTGTCCCACATCAGGCGCCAAGTCCTCCATGTTGGAGGTTGGGCACAAGGCTAACAACCCTGTCCTGTAAAAATTAATGTTACTGAACCAGCAACAGGATGGTGCTGCCCCTGCATGCTTGAAGGGATAATGGGCAAACATCCATATTTAAGGCTACTGGTATAGTGGACACTGTGGGAGGAACATTTAGCAAGTGTATCTTTCCACTGCAGTCTATGAAGCAAGTGGTTGAGTTACGTATTTTAGCTACCCCTTTGTACTGATTATTTTGTACGTTATTATGTATGAAAAACTGTATGTTGTGTCCTTGGACCCTATAAGTCTCTTGCCATTTGCTGCGCTCGACCGATTCAAGTAGCCATAAATGTACTAATTTACTTCATGTATTCTACTGTTGCAATTTCTAATTGTTCCTGTAAATTCAAACTATCATGCCTACTCAGCAATAAAATCAAAAGAGCACAGATTTGAAGCAAACTGCTTTGGCAAAGGCAGAAGAGGGATCTAACAAAGCTCTGGCAATGACATATGAAAAAAGAGGACAATACAGAGAACAATTTAAGCTTTTAGTCTCATTATATGCAAGAAGTGAAAGCAGAACAGTGTAGGAACAAGAAATTATTCAGGTAGAGAGAGTAGAGAATAGGGGAGTTTATTGCCACGTGTACATGTACATTGGACTTTTTATTCACACTGATCTCTTGGGACATACACAGTACAGCAGACAACACCACACAATGTAGGTTGTACAACAATAATACAACAAGTACAAAAAATACGTAGAAACAAGTAAAGGTTTATTCCATGATGAAAAGAGCAGAAAGAAAACACGATGTTTGGGCTGTGGAGCCGCCTTCTTCTTCGGAGCCACACGAAGAAGGCTCCACAAAACATTGTGTAAACATTTTAGGAAACGCACATCACTACTTAACCTTCTCCTTTGATATTTTCTTGCAAAAACTAATATTAAATAAAAGTATAATTAATAAAGAAAACCATTCATAAATTTAAAGGAACAGAACAGTCTTAATTCAAACATTTTATTTCTAATATGCCTAGAACTCATATGTGCAGATGTTGTGTAGGCAGAACAATGTGATAAACCTCAATCCAGAACTTTGCCAACAGTATACATTAGGGCTTGCCTCATACACATCACTGGTGCGACTGCTTTATTTTGGTTCTGTTCTAAAGGCTACACAGCATAGTTCAGTATTACAGTATAAATAAAAAATACAATCATTTTTTTCACAGTGCAAGACTAGTGCTTTGTTTCAGCATTTATTACAAATCCCAGATGATGAATCCTGAAGATCTTTAAAGATATAAGCAAAGTCAAAGTATTGGATCCCAGTCTCTCTTTTGGAGTGCCATGGGTGTGTAACCCACAACAGCCAGACCAACACACCTGCATATCCCAATATACTCAATATACTCATCTGCACCCCTGACTTGTTTTAAAAAGCAGGCAATCATTTAAAACTAAGGTTGGATTAAAATAACAGACACTTTATATTAAAACATGGTTTAGCTTCCACTACAAAGTATGAGTC